TGGATTCTCCCACGTCTTTCCCTTGCTATCTTTAAATCTACGGTCACGGATATTAGGAGTCCTTCCTCTACGAGGCGATCGGGGAAGGTCTTTGCACAATGACTGGAAACTAATACTTCTCTTGAACCCATTCGATTCCTTCTTATCTCGAAGTGAAGCTTTTGGAACGTTCCTTTTCGAGGGAGGTGTCTTCGAAATACATACATTCTTGATAATACCTCTGAGCAAATCGTTGTGGAGATGGATGTTATCCCTCCCGACCGTGGCAATAAACAGCTTATTGAAGCCGGACTTGCTTAGTTTGGAGCTCAGAAATCTGGACAGGAGATCAAGGTAGTTCCCTGTTTTGGCCCGACCAAGCTTCTTCTCTATCTGAGACTTTAACTGGAAAGTGTCTGCTCGATCGAAATGCTGAATTGTTGGCATTTGGACCCTCGAATTCCCTCCCTAACATCAAAAGAAATTAACCTACTTCTCGCCCAAATCTGTAATGACGATAACAACATTCGATTTCAGGTAACACATCATCCAAACCCCAAGATGTGGCGAATCTGAATCTGTACAAGTCAAAACCCGAACAGAAAAAGTCAACCCTAGTTCAGATATACCCGTGTTGCTGGATTTTGACTCGAAATAACAAAAACCCACAACTGAAATCGGCAGATTAAGTAACCTTTTCAAGTTCATCGAACAGGTTCGACACTCGTTCGTCCGTTTCGGCTGGCCCGACGAAATCTGCTACAAGACAAAGAGTTGGCGAGTGAATCTCGACTAACCCAGTCCGATTTTCTTGGAGACCAAACAGGGTAATCAACAAAAATCACCAAAAGGAAAGCCAGAGTTTCTCCATCGTCATTGCCGAAACGCGATTTCTACTTGCAAACGATTCGCGTAATCCAACGAGAACATAATCCCAAAAGCAATTCTGCTATTAGATAAAAGTTACGATTTTCGAACCTGAACCGGCGGGACGAAAGAAAGATTCGATCTTTCACGGGAGTTTCAGCAATTCCGCAGTAATTTTTCGATTAATCACTGGTTTTAGGGAAA